GTATAAAATCAATAATAAACAAAGTACTCCTTGCAATGAATACTTAACACATGATGAAGGTGGATTTGTCAAAATATCTGTTTTGACGTGGAAAACAATGAACGGTGGTGAAACGGGTTCGCTACAACAAGCAAATGTTCGATTTACCCGTCTGTGGTTCTGCCATTCGTCCCAACCCACTTTTTCTAGCTAGACAAAGGCGTAAATTCAAATCAATACTGTCAGACGAATGCAAGATATTGAATTAAATGGATAATGCGGTTCATTTCAAAGCAACTGACACCAATTACCTGACACGTCATTACAAACGCGTCTGATTACAAAAAAGAATGTTTGAATGACCTGGACGGAGCAAGCAGCTAAAACAGAACACCCACCTAGATGCTACGCATTCGAGTGCACACAAAAGATAGGAATATATCTGGCAGATGCCGCCCAAACGCTTTCAAGGTTAAGCTGAATAAAGCGATAGGAACTATGATTCTAGAACAATGCCAGTGCATGAAGCTAAAGTATAGATGCTCTCTCAAAAATTGATGGTACGACGACGATTCATCTTCATTGTCTGTAGTGATCGCGAGCGTAAACGTCTCACACAGTGTTTAGCGATGCAACGTATCATACGATGACGATTTGATCATAATCATAAGAGATTTATAAAATCTTAAAGATAAATAGAGGATGCTCTTTCCCAAAATGCTATAAAAAATTAATAACAAAAAATACACCGCCAAGTCAAAATTTGATATCTTCCTGAAGAAGTAAGCACTTGTTCCTGAACCACCAACAACTGTCGACGACCCAATGCCCTTTACGAGCTATGCTTGTTAACGCGAATCATCAGAGGAATAAAGGGGCTGATGATCATCGCTATAACCCCCTTGTCATAAATATCTTCCATCAGTTAATGTTAGTTTTCAATTAAAACTGTTTAATTACAGTAATTACTCATTTATTTATTCATTAAAGACAGCAGTTATTTATTTAACATATCCTATTCGATTTACAA